CTCACTCAGTTGGTCATGGTATATTATTTTTTGCATCATGTTGGATTCTGTTTGCTAACATTTAATTTAGTATACTTTTACATTGCTATTTATAAATAATTTCATCAATAGTTTTCTTGTTTTTATTTTGACAATATCTTTTTATTTTTACTTTTTATTTTTTTGAGTCAGAGTCTCACTCTGTTGCCCAGGCTGGAGTGCGGTGGCACGCTCACGGCCATTGCTACCTTGACTTGCTGAGTTCAGGCGATCCTTCCTCCTCAGCCTTTCAAGTAGCTGGAGCCACAGGGGCATACCACCACGCCCAGCTAATTTTTTAATTTATTGTAGAGACAAGGTCTTCCCATGTTGCCCAGGCTGGTCCTGAACCCTTGGGCTCAGGCAGTCCTCTTGCCTCTGTCTCCCAAAGTGCTGGGACTGTAGACATGAGCCACCGTGCCCAACCTTATTATTATTATTATTAATAAAAATGGATTCTGACTATGTTTCCCAGGTTGGTCTTGACAAGTGGTCCTCCTACATTGGTCTCCCAAAGTGCTTGGATTACAGGTATAAGCCACTATGCCTGGGCACTATCTTTATTCAGGTTTTCAAATCATAAACAAGGATTAGGACATTTGTTTTCATTTCTTTCTTTCTTTCTTTCTTTCCTTTCTTCTTTCTTTCTTTCTTTTTAGTTTTTTTTAAATTATAAAGATGTGGGGTGCAATTCAGGGGGAGGTATACAAACTTTGATTATGTAGGTATCCATGTTGATAAGGTATGCCCCTCTCTCCCTTAGCAGTTTCCTCAACTGCCAGTCCTACCCTCTTCCCCTGACAGTTTCCCACTACTGCCAATCCCTTTCTTGTAGTATTACAATTGTTCAAGTTAAGCTTATGAGTGAGAACATACGGTACTCTGTTCTATGTTTCTGTGATAGATCACTGAGTATGATCGACTCCAAGTCTATCCAAGTTACTACGAAGCCCATATATTTGTCCTTTTTTATGGCTGCATAATATTCCATTGTGTATATGTACCACATTTTTTTTTATCCAGTCCAGTTCACAATACCAACATGTTTTCATTTTCAATGCTCTGTAACAATTAGTAGAATCTTGGGACGGTGTGGTTGAAGGTTTGATATGATTACCTTGTGGATCCATGTTGGACTGGTACCATTTTGTAAATTTCTACTTTCCTTGTTTTTTTCTTGTGATCAAGTTAGTTAATGATTTGTTTGTTTTGTAAATTAAAAAGAAATCCAGGAGTTTGTTTTATTAGTTAGGTCTACTTTAAAAAAAAGTACTTATTCCTTCCTTTATTATTTCCTTCTTTGTCCTATCTTTTGTTTTACTTTGTTGTGCTTTTTTAAAGGTTTTTTTCCCCCCCAAAATGGGAATTTAATTCACTTACTTGAAGAATTTTCTTTCTGCTGATAAGTAATATGATGCAAATTTAATTAATTAATTTTTTTTTGAGTTGGAGTCTCACTCTGTCACCCAGACTGGAGTGCAATGGCCGCTCCCGGCCACCGCAGCCTTGACCTGCTTGGGCTCCGGCGATCCTTCTGCCTCAGCCTTCCAAGTAGCCGGAATTACAGGCATGTGCTACCACGCCCGGCTGATTTTTTAATTTATTGTAGAGATGAGGTCTCGCTGCCCAGGCGGGTCTCGAACCTGCAGGCTCAGGCAATCCACTCACCTCAGCCTCCCAAAGGCGCGGGATTATAGGCTGAGCCACCGAGACCGGCTGCAAATTTAATTTAATAGTGTGATTTTAGTGCTATGAACTGTCTTATGATCTCTGCTATAAATGTAACTTATATATTCTGATGTGGAAGAGTTTATTATTTTACAAATTATGGAATTAGGCCCTGTATAGTGGCTTATGCTTGTCATCTCAATATTTTGGGAGGCTGAAGCAGGAGGATCACTTGCGGCCAGGAAGACAGAATGGCTGAGAGACTTCTGCTTCCAACTAAGATGGAGTGGTAGGAGCAAATTTGGTCTCTCACCAAAATTTGAGGTATGCCCCTCCCTTTTAAAAATAGTCACGCTATTAAGACTAGCTTTGGCAACAAGATGGTGATAGTGAGACCCTATCTCTACCAAAAAAAAAAAAAAAGAAAGAAAGGAAAAAGAAATGATGCAATTGGCTTTTCTCTCTTTTGCCTTGTGTTGTTCAATAAGAGGTTTTTAAAAAAATGTCCAGGTGGAAGTGCTTTTTGTTTTTATTTTGTTAATAATTTCTGGTTTTATTGCATTGCAATCTGAAAGTGTTGTTGTAACATTTCTACTTTATGGAACTCACTGATGTTTTCTTTGTGACCTAATATATGATCAGTATAGATGAGATGTATTTTATATTACAAAAGTATAAGATTTGAAATATATTTATATAAAGTTTACCTTTTTGGTCATGTCCATTAGGATTTTTTTCTTACTTACAGATGTACTTCACCTGTTGTTTAGTGAGAGTGCTTTGTTGAAGTCTACAATTGTTAGTGTGCTTCTCTCTTTGTTTCCTTGTACTTCCTGTAGTATGTGCTTTATAAACATGGTTGTTATTTGGTGTGTACTTATTCATAACTGTTTTCTTTATTGTGGTTGTGGTTTTAAGCATTAATAATACCCTTTGTCACATTAAATGTTTTTTAGCTTGAATTGTATTTTTTATGATTTTGTAATATCTCTCTTACTTCTTGTTTCCCTTCACCTGGGAGTTTCTTTGTCTCTTTATTTGGAGCCTTTTGGAATCACTTTGTTTTTGATATGCTTTTTGTGTACCATACTGAGTTGTATTTGAGCTTTGCTTTTGAATCAAATTGAAAATCTTTTTCTTTTAATAGATAATTTACTCCTTTTTATATTTATTGACATGACTGATATGTTTGGTCTTAATTCTTTTAAATTATTTTATTATTATGTGATGTTTGCTATGTTTCTTTCTCTACCTGTTGGATATGCTTTGCTGTTATATTTTCAAAATTATACATATATATAATAGTAGTTATCTTTTTACTTTTCATTATTTGGTTTGTCAAGAATTCAGTGGTATTCTATAATATAACTCCTATCTATTGCCTGAACAAAAATATTAGCTTACTTTACTTTCCCCCCCTTCTCATTTTTAAAGTGCATTTTTTTCTACTTTGTCTCATCACATAACATTTTACACTAATTTTCCACACATGTTCCCACCTTTTTTGGAGGTTGGCAATGGAAGGGTAATATAATCTACATTTTTACTTATTAAAGTTCTTATCATCAGTCTCATTGGTGAAGTATTTCTGATCATCTTTTAATTGATGAAACCTGTCCTCTAGTAGATTCCATGAGGAGGACTTATGGTACAGAATTCCCTAAGTTCATATAGTTAAACTGTTTTTCTATAACCTTAATATTTGAAGTACAGCTTGGCTGAATATAAAATCCTTGGTTTACAGTTTTATTGAGTTTTTGAAAATATCATTTATTGTTGCTTTGCCTTGTATGTTATTTTTGAGAATTCTCGTCACCAGTCTGATTCTTTTGCCCTTGTAGGTTATTTGATCTTTTTGTATATGTAGACCTTGAGATTTTTAAAATATATCTTTAAAGTTTGCTAGTTTTTCTACGTGTATTTATTACCTATTGTTGTGTAACAGTTTACTTAAAAACTCAGTTTAAAAACAACAGTAAATATATATTATATCAAATTTTCTGCAAATAGTGAATTTGGGAGTACCTTTGCTGGTGACTCTGGTTTGGGATCTCTTCATGAGATTGAGTTAAACTATGGGCCAGGACTGTTGTTCTCCAAAGGCTTGACTTGGGTCTGCTCCCAAGATGACTCATGCAAGTTCTGGTAAGCTGGTGCTAGATGCCTCAGTTGTTGTGCATGTGGACTTCCCCATGAGACTTCTTGATGATAGTTGGCTTCTCCTAGGACGAGTGAATCAAGAGAGTAAAGAGAGAGCAAAGAGAGGACAAAATGGAAGCTGCAACGTCTTCTGTGACCTGTCCTTGGTTTTTTAAAAGTTATTTTTGGTGAGAGACCAAATTGGCTTCTATCACTCCATCTTAGTCGGAAGCAGAAGTCTTTCAGCCATTTGTCTTCCATAATTTTTATGCCCTATCCTGTGTCTCTTCTTCTCTTGATACTTCAATTTCATATGTTTTTGACCTTTAAGGTTTTAGACTCTATTATGTTACCCTGAAGAACAATGATATTTTGTCAGTTTGGCTGAACTCAAATTCCAACTTTGTCTTTCTGTGGTGGACAGTAACTCAAATCTCTGTTCAATTTTTTATACTTTTAACTGGTTTCTTGGAATTTGCCCTTGATTGCATAATTTAGAAGTCAGCCAGAGATTTGGGCAGAGTTTCTATGAGGAATTTGGGGTTCTCCTTCTCTGGCTCTCTGATTTCTAGACTTTCTGCCATCAATTTCTAACAAATGTAGTTACCTTTGGTCTGTTCTGAATTCTGTCAATCAATGAACACCAAAGTTTTATCCAAGTTTTCAGCCAACCTATAGGGTGCTGACTGGGGATGGCCTTCAGGTGAAAAGGAAAAATTTACCCGTTCTATTTCTTTCTTCTAAGTTTCAACCCCCCTTCAGTTTCTGTTTTCTTTTGGTCATTCTCTAGTTCCTTCAAAGAGTTTTTCTAAAGTTTATGTTGTGTAGGAGGATTTGTTTTCAATGAAAATTTTATGACCCTCGCTTTTTTTTTCTTAAGGTTTGTGCTTAAAAAATCTGTCTCAGTGAAGCCTCTCTTATTATGTTATTTAAAAATTGCAGAACTACCCACCCCTTTCTGGTGTTCCTTCTTTGTATGCACCTTTTATTAGTAGGTAACATAGAATGCATTTTAAACATTTATTTTATTTTCTAAGTTCCTTAACTAGAATGTAAGTGCGTAGATATATTTCTCTCTTTCAGTACTAGTTCTTCAGTTCCTAGAATAGCTTGTATTGAATGCCTAGTAAATATTTGTTGTATGAGTGAATGGCTTTTTCTATCTCCTTATATAGTGCCCGAAAGGCAGTGGATGAGGAAGAGGAAGCAGTTGAAGAACGTCGGAGTATGCGAATTATCTGTGTGACTGGCAAAAAAAGTTTAACTGAAAGGGAAGCAGCAGCCCTTATAGTGGAAGAAGCCAAAATGATTCTGCAGCAGGACTTAGTTGAAATGGGAGTGCAATGGAACCCATATTCCCTTTTCAATTCTGGTACACATTCATTGACCAGTAGTGAGTCAGAAGTAAAGGAACACACATTTATATCCCAAACTAAGCATTCTTGTAAAAGATCAAAGAGCAAAAGTAACACAATATTTAGTGATTCTTATGTTAGGCACTCACCAAATATAGTGCAAAATTTAGGTAAAAGTAGAGAGTATACAAGTCCCTGGTATTGTAAATTCCAGGATAGGAATCAAGAACATCAGAGACATTCCATTTTCAGAGCAAGAAAACGGTCTTCTTTAGACACAAATAAAGAGAAGCCAGGTACCTCTCAAAATGAGGGGAAAACAAGCACTATGAAAGTTGTTCAGACTTATTCATCTGAGAAAACAAAGGCAGCTTTGAATTTCAGTTCAGAAAAGAGGGTCACATCCTTTCGAGCTTGGAAACATAGAAAGCATCTAAAGCAATCAAGGGACAGTAGCCCTCCAAAAGACTCTGGAATGTATAGAATTGATTTACACGGACAGATTATGTCTAGTCCTATTCTTTGTGAAGACTCATTTACCTTAAATGAGAAGAATTCATCTTTTTGTGCTAAAGGAAAACATAACAAAATATCACTTCCATTACAAATAAGGGAAAGTTGTTCAAGGAACACAATTACTAATGATATTTTTGTGGAACATTTTGTCACAGGATCTCAGGGTCAAAACATGACTTGTCAAGCCACCAGCATGACTAGTGAAAATGACCAAGGATTAGCTGTTGTTGAGGCAGAAAAAAAAAGTAAAGTGTTGCTACGAAATGGTTCAGAAAACCACAACATTTATGTGAAACATCATGATACCCATTCAATTATCCAGTGCCCAGAAAAGCAACCTAACAAACAGACATATAACAAACAAAAACATATAATAGAGAGACAAATGCCCTGTGAGACAGTCAGTAGTTATATGAATAGAGACTCAAATGTTGCTACTATCATTTGTGAAAGTATAAAGTTTAATGCTGAAGAAAATAAATCAAATCATTTTCAGGCGTTAGAAGATGATATAAATAGAATTGAAGTGTCCAGTGGAATACTTCTATCAACTGGAGCATTTGGTAAAGTAGGAGGCCAGCGTGAACATTTTCTAAATTCTCCTAGGATGCAAGAAAAAACAGATGCTTATGTAACAAACAAAACCCCAAATAATCATGTTTCCGACTTAGGTTTAGAACTCTGTGATTTTGAAGATAGTTTCCACCTGGATACTCAGTCAGATAAAATAATACAACAGTTGGCAACTGAAAATGCCAAACAAAGAGCAAAGGACACCAGCCTGTCAGCAGGGATAATGCAGAAGAACTTAGCCAAACTGAACTTGACGAGCTCTTTTCAGGATGAGTTTCACATTTCTTTTCCTGGTGAACAGCATTCTCCAAGTGTGACTAATAGAGGTCATTTGGACCTTAAGACTGTAGGTACTATGAAACAGAGTACTGATTCACATAGAGTTGATATCCTGCCTCCAGAAAGCCCAGTTTTTCATTCTCCAATACTATTGGAGGAAAATAGTCTTTGTTGTAAAGGGAATGAACTTTCTGTTACTGACTCCCAACTAAATAGTTTTCTTCAAGATTATCAAACACAAGACATAGTGAAACCAGTCATACCTGTAGTTCCTCAAAAGAGATCTCCCACTGGTGTAGAAGGAGAGTGCCTGCCAGTTTGTGACACAAGTTTGAATATGAGTGATAGTTTACTATTTGACAGTTTCAGCGATGACTACCTAGTAAAAGAACAACAACCTGCTGTGCAAGCGAAAGAACCCCTTCCTTCTGAAATAACATCAAAGCTTTTCAGTGATTCTCTGTGTCAGTCACTGGAGGGCCCAATTAAAAAGTCAAATATGAATGAGAATAAAGATACACAGCAGCAGTTGACTTGTTTCAATGATGAATCTATTATATTTTCAGAAATGGATTCTGTTCAGATGGTTGAAGTTTTGGACAACATGGATATATTTTCTGTCCAAGAGAAACATAGTACTGCAGTATCTCTTAGAGCATTAGAACTAAATGATTCTGTAATTGGAGGCAATGATCACTTCCAAGGAGAAGAAATTGGAGTGGATCAAGATGCAAGGGCTCAAAAATACAGATTCACTGGGACCAGGCAAGATAATTCATTCATATGGTCAGGGACATCATTTGATCTCACTCCAGGACTACAGAGGATTTTAGATAAAGTGTCCAGTCCTTTAGAAAATGAAAAGCTAAAAATAATGACTGTAAACTTGTGTACTTTGAAAGGAAAAAATACAGAGTTACATGGAAAACAAGAAGTGATTTCAAACTTGGAGACAAATCAAGTACCAGGAATTTCATTTTCTTCTAATAATGAAATAAAAAGCAAGACCGAGGCACTAGACAACAATGCCAATCATAGTGAATCCTCATCCCTCGTGCCTTGCAAAGAAAGCTGTGGAGTTGATGATCATGGTCTCATTCCTCCTACACCCATTCCAACATCTGCTTCTATGCTGGCGTTTCCAGGGATTCTTGGAACACCTGTAAAACATCAGAAAACTAGTAATATTTTACAACCTGGTTCAAGTTATTCACTTAGCTCACCTTCAGATATTAAAAACCACAATTTAAGTCCAGAGAGTAGAAATGGTTTCCAGGATGACAGCCCTATTAGAGACACAAGTTTTTCACTGCAGTTTTCACAGGATAGCTTGCAGTTAACTCCAGCCTCATGCAATTCAGAGAGTTTGGCCATAATTGATGTAGCAAGTGACCAAACTCTTTTTCAAACATTCATTAAGGAGTGGCGGTCCAAAAAACGATTTTCCATCTCACTGGCTTGTGAAAAGATTAGAAGTTTGACATCTTCTAAAACTGCTACTATTGGTGGTAGGTTTAAGCAAGGTAAGAATTTTTAATTTTGTTATATTTATTTATAATCTCGTTAGTAGGCTGAGATGAGATTTAGATTTTTCATTGTTGGATATTAAATGTAATCTATTCAAAATTTAGAAGTCTCCTTTGTGGATTTGTATGTAGAACAGCCTTATTTATACAGCATAGCTGGATTAATAACAGTTGCCCTCTAGTGTAAGAGGCACATGTAATATACTTTATTATTTGGAATGTAAGTTTATAAAAATAAAGATAGAAAATACATGTTTTGAACATGAATGTGGCATTTCTTTTATGGTATTTTAATGTAAATTTTTTTGTGAGTTGGGATATCACTCTGTCACTCAGAGTAGAGTACAGTGACAGCATCACAGTTTACTGCAGGCTCCACACCCTGGGCTTAGGTGATTCTTTTGCCTTGGCCTCCTGAGTAGATGGGACTACAGGCACACACCACTACATCCAGCTAATGTTTTGATTTTTGGTAGAGATGAAGTCTTACTATGTTGTCTAGGCTGATCTTGAACTCCTGGGCTCAAGCAGTCCACTACCTTGGCCTCCCAAAGTGCTGAGATTACAGGCATGAACCTTTGCACCTGGCCATAAGTAGTTTTTATTAATCATCAGTGTTCATGAATTAGTTTCTGTTAAATCGTAATATCCTGTTTGCTTATATAATCACAAAAGTATACAGTAAATAGGAACTCTGTTTTTCTTTTTTCTTTTTTTTTGAGTTGGAGTCTCACTCTGTCGCCCAGACTAGAGTGCA